TTCCCTCATCTTAGTATAGAAATAAAAAGCCAGCAAACTGCAAAGAGGCAGAAACTTTTATTAGACAGAAAAGAAACTTTTATTTGATTGGCAAGTGATAGAAAGAGTGTCTGGTCCGAGAGGAGAGCAGGCGGAGTGCCCGAGCGGGACACTGGCTTTGAGGAAGTGTCCGGGTTTTCAAGGCATTGCTGTCTGTTCATTGGGTTATCCTATTGGGGGGGTGCCCAGTGGATGGAGGTGGGGTTCACATAGATATTGGCTTGGGGCTCACAGAGATATAGGGTGTCTCCTGGAGACTGTCCGTCTCCTTAGGGGCTCAGCCCCCTCCTGTGCTAGCTCTGCGTGGAAGACCGCAACTAACTTGAAGGCATGATTTAAAACCACAAGGTCACACAGGATAGCCAGGGTCTCCTGGAGCCGGTCTGACTCTCCCCAGGGGCTCAGCGCCTCCCCCTGCCAGCTTAGGGTGAAAGCTTGCACCCCACCCCCCTGGAGGTGTGATTTAAGGCCGCAAGGTCGCATATGCAGCACAAGGAGCTATTAATTGGGGAGATGCCGGTTGGTCTGGAGCCAGGCTTTCTGGCCACAGCTGGCAGCCTGCTTGTGAAGGACGTTCTACCTATGTCCCAGGGGCCCAGAGACCCCAGTGCCACTGGACTGCCTCACCTAGAATGGGATCAAACGCAGGCAGGGTGCTGCCCGGTGTCAGCTTACTGTGAAGTGCTCGGAGAGAGGAGGCTCAGCTGTATGCACTCAGCAGCCAGCGGTGTGCTCCATCTTGGCTCTCACTGGCTGCACACAACTTACTCTCAGCACACCCAGGACCCGTATCAGTAAACTGGAGATAATACTAACAGCGGCTCACAAGGGCAGGAAGGGCTTATGTAAACAACTCTTAGCTGTCTTCTCATGGTCACCTACTTCCCCCTTGTGGAGAAAAGTCAATTTGCACATTAAAATCAGTTTATAAATAATTGAAACAAACCAGGTCCTCAAATAGGAGTTTGACTAAATATATTATGGTATATCCACACAGGGGAACAGTATTGAGCTATTTGAATATATTGTATACTGCTAAGTATACAAAAAAATAAAATGATAGCTCATTTTTCTAAATATCTATACAGATAGAGAGGAATAACACACTGAATGGTAACAGTGCATCTGCGGGGCATTTTCACTTTCTGCTTTACAGCTTTTCATTGTATCTTCTCAATAAATTGAGAATAAATAAATTATCAATGTATAATGACCTTTTTCTGTTTTCAGAGGCTCTGACCTTATGTTGATTTTTTTCTACAGTAACAGATTGAGAGAGGGATAGACAGGGCTACAAAGGAGAGGAGTTTTGTGTGCTGCTGGAGCTACGTCAGGATTAATTCGAACTAGACTGCTAGCCATTGAGGATAGTAGTTGCAATTTTCACAGCAACTAATAAGAAAATAACTAAACCAAGTACAAAAGAGGAACTAGGCAGGAAATCAAGATGGCCGTCCTGGCTTCTCTGCTTCCAACCCAGCTCCCTGCTAATGTGCCTGGAAAGGCAGCCGGTGATAGCTCCAGTGTTGGGCCCCAGCCACCCAGGTGGGGAGCCCAGATGGAGTTCCTGGCTCCTGGCATTAGCTGGGCCCAGACTTGACCAGGAACTGTTTGCTGCTGTTTGGGGAGTGAACCAGCAGATGGAAAATCTCTCCCCTCCTCTCTCTGTCTTTCAAATAAATAAATTAATGTTTTTTAAAATGCAAGAAAAACAAGATGGTATTCTTAGAGTAATTAGCCAAGAGGAAGAAATAAAGGCTTCTAAGAGCGGGTATCTGGAGCAGTGTGGTTAAGATGTTTCCTGGAAGGCCTGCATCCTGTGTGGCAGTGCTTGGTTCAAGTCCTGGTTTTGCTCCCAGTTCCAGCTCCAGCAAATGTGCACGCTGGAGGGCAGCAGCTGATGGCAACAGATTGGGTCCCAGCTACCTATGTGAATACAAATTGAGTTCCCAGCTCCTGGCTTTGGCCTGGCCCAGCCCTGTCTGTGGTTGGCATTTGAGGAGTAAACCAGTAGACAGGTTACTGTCTCTGTCTCTGTCTCCCCTCCCTCCCCCTTTCAAATACATAAAAGTAAATAAAATTCTTAAAAGAAACTGAAATTCAAAAGATGTTAGATTGTTTCTATTTGCAGCTGACACGATCTTATATATAGAAAACCCTAAAGAATCCACGGAAATCCCATTGAACTAATGAACAAATTCAGTAAGTTAAAGGATACAAAAGCAACACAGAAAAATAAGTAGTGTTCTGTAGTGTTTGTTTAACAACAAACTATCCAAAAACCAACTAAGAGAACAATCTCACTTAGCTACAAAAAAATGTAAATGCTTAGGAATAAACTGAATCAAGGAGGCGAAAGCTGTTTAATAGCTTCAGTCCTGGCCTGTGGCTTGACAATGACCTGATGAGAAACTGAACCTGAACGACCCAGCCCACCGGTTCCCAGATTCTAGATTAGCAGAAACTAGGAGACAGTTAAGTGTTTGTAATTTCCAGCTGCTAATTTTTTTAAAAAAGATTTATTTATTTATTTGAAAGTCAGAGTTGGAGGTGGCACTGTGGTTAAGGCAGCAGGTTAAAAGCCCTGGCCTGAAGCGCTGGCATCCCATATGGGCGCCAGTTCTGGTACTGGCTGATCCTCTTCTGATCCAGCTCTCTGCTACAGCCTGGGAAAGCAGTAGAAGATGGCTCAAGTCCTTGGGCCCCTGCACCCATGTAGGAGACCCGGAAAAAGCGCCTGGATCCTGACTTTGGATCAGCTCACCTCCAGCCATTGCGGCCATCTGGGGAGTGAACCAGTGGATGGAAGACCTCTCTTGCTGTCTCTACCTCTCTCTATAACTCTGTCTTTCAAATAAATAAATCTTTTTTTTTAAAAGAAAGAGTTAAACAGAGAGAGAATGAGAGGCAGAGAGAGAAAGAGAGAGAGAGAGAGAGCTCTTCCATTTGCTGGTTCACTGCAGGTGGTGGCTTTATCCGCTATGCCACAGCACCAGCCCCAAAGCTGCTAAATTTTGAGTAATTCATTACATAGCCCTAGATAACTAATATGTGGGATCTTCAAAAAGTACATGGAAACACATATTATAGGGTAAAAAGTATACATGGAATTTTTTGAACTAAAATAAACCTACCTTTTAATTCAATTTTCATGAGCTTTTTGGAATACCCTTAAACATGTAGTTTTGGTAGATCCTGCCAAGTCCTCACAGAATGGCTACCTCATGTCCTTATTATACGAGAATTCCTGCTTCCCATGGCCTTACCTACAGTATACAGTACCTCCCCTACCTGGAATACTCTTTATAAGATAATAGATGAGAAATGTTATCTTATCGTGGCTGTCATTTTCTTTCATTCATTGTGAAGGAGGCCTCCTGCTCCTTCAACTTCTTCCTTCATGAGGTATTACAGAAGAACAGTTTTCTGTCACTCTGAGGATAAAGAGAAAAAGGTGTTACAATTCCTAGAGACGCTCCACGTAGGGAAATACTGTCCCTTTCCCATCTCTTTAGCTTCCACGGGCATCACTCCTTGAAGCTGTGGACTCTGATTTAGGCATTACTATAGCGTAGTGCTGCTTAACTCCGTGGCTCCGATGTCTTACGCACAAGGCAATCAATCAGTACCGATCTAACTGTGCACGTTTAAATTGGGGGTGGTGACCAAGTGCTCGCGGTCAGCCATTACCCTCCCCTTCACCTACATACAACTTTAGTCAGGCATCTGGCCTCTCTAGGGACCCCCAAACTCTGGCTCACTTCCAGGTGTAACCACACAGTGGAGCACCAATGCAGGACATTTTCCCGCAGCCCTTCAAGACCCCCAGACCCCCAAGACCCCAGACACGACTCCTGCTGGATGCCGGCCTTTGCCCACCGGCGCACCCCTGGGCAGCCCTCCCTGACAACTTCCTGCGCATCCTTGTGGAAAAGCCCTTTAGTTTGATTCTGAGATGCTGGTAGATGGCTGAAATCGGGGCGTTCTTCCTATTGCAATGGTCTTTCTGAATGAAGTCTCTCCTTATCTAAGTCTAGATTCGTTTTTACTTGACACAAGAAATGAAATTCTAAATGTAAACTTGCTGCTGTGGGAAAACGATAGTGATTTGCACACATGAAACACCTGCTTGTTAAAGCAAAAAGCCTGATACGAAGTCTAAAGGTTAGGCTAACGGTTTTAGTAGGATATTTCTGCAAGCGTTTTGCTGGGTTATTTACTTTTTTGTCACGTGATTTCCCCCTTCCACCTCCCCCAAACCTCACCTTCCCCTCAGTCTCTCGCTGCAGCCCCCCACTCCCCCAGCCCCGTTCAGCCTCCCAGGTGTCAAACTCTGCAGCACTACGCCCATCTCCTTCGCCGACGGTGTCCCCTTTTTCTCTCAGTCTGATTTCTCTCTCTCAAGCTGCGTCCCTCAGTCCCCGGTTCCCGTCGCTCAGTGTTCTTTTTCCCTTCGTTAGTCCCTGGGACTTATTACTTCCCTCGCAGCTTTCCCTGGAAGACTTGCTTTTCACCGCTGCTAGCATAATTAAAGTTCACTATCTTTTTCTCTCTCCGGTCCCAACGCGGGACCTCCCAAGATGTACCACTGCACGCTTCACCCCTTCTCCGCACGTTCCAATAGCCCGGGAGAGGGCTGTACCAGTCACAAACACGCTTGTGCGGGATCCCTTCCAGATTTCCTCCTTCACAAAATGCAGCCTTTCAATAGAGGACAGCGTCACTCCAGCTGTTCCCCCAACTCCCCCGTAAGCCTCTCTGCAAACGTGTGTGCCTTGTTTGTATCGTACACCTCGTTCTCCTCACCTGCCTCTCTCTTCGCCGTCCAATCCCGGGCGCCGACCTGATAGAATTCCTCCGCTTGTACGGAACCCGCGGGACTCCCAAGATGGCGTCCCTCACACAGAAAGAGCTCATGGGGGCCGCCATGTTCCCCTCAACAAAGCCTCCTGGTACGGAACAGCGCAGGCCCGGGAACCCGGCGCTTTTGCTCATGGGCAGGAAGCGGGAGAGTTCGCCGCCATGGATGTGACAGTCGTGCTGTTTAAGCCGTAATGGGCGTTTCGAGGACAGACAGTCCAGCGGGAGGTCGGGAGGAGGTTCTGCGCGGCGGTGTTTGAGGCTGTGGCATTGGTAAGGGGAGGGAGAAACCTGTGAGGGTCACTGACAGGAGGTTTGTGAATTCACAGACCAGTGCGGGAGGTCGTGGGATTCGCGTTGGGTTTGTTGGGGAGTCAGGAATGGATGTGGTATGTGAGAAGTTAATGGAGAGTGATGGGGTTATGAGGAGTCTGGGGGTGAGGAGGAGCGGGCAGGTGGTCTGTCTGGTCCAGGGATTCAGGTCACTCTTGAGGAGTCTGTCATCGGTGAGGAGAATGACCAAATGCTGGGCGCGAACCTGTGGTCAGTGTGGGACGGACATGGGGGCATCAGTGGGGCGTCCAGCGGGAGACAGGATTAGTAGACCCGACGGTTCGGAAGTTTGGAGGGGACAGTGACGGAGTCAGGGCCTCGCGGTGGTCAGCCTCAATTTACCCGGGAAGGCTTTGACTTACATTAAATGTCCACAGGTCATAGGCAACTAACTATTGAGTACTTTAAGGACTAGCCCTTTCTCACGTCGTCTCTCCGTCTGCCATTGTCCCCTTAGCCTGGTGTGCCGCTCAGAAATGAGTATTTTAAGACATGACCGAACGAAGGAGAAGGGGGAGGTTGTGGAAAGTGTGACTTCAATTTTCGTCTTTCCAAGTTTCTTGAATTACTTTCATTTGTTTCAGAAAACATGTGCTGAGTATTTGCTGGGTGTCAAGACATGAGTGTAGGCCGGCGCCGTGGCTCAACAGGCTAATCCTTCGCCTGTGGCGCCAGCACACGGGGTTCTAGTCCCGTTTGCTCCTCTTCCAGGCCAGCTCTCTGCTGTGGCCTGGGAGTGCAGTGGAGGATGGCCCAAGTGCTTGGGCCCTGCACCCGCATGGGAGACCAGGAAGAAGTACCTGGCTCCTGGCTTCAGATCAGCACAGCACGCCGGCTATAGCAGCCATTTTGGGGGTGAACCAGCTGAAGGAAGACCTTTCTCTCTGTCCCTCTCTCTCACTGTCTAACTCTGCCTGTCAAAAAAAAAAAAAAAAAAAAACATGAGTGTGGTATTTCTCGTTTCCTCCCAGATGTACTGTGATGAGGCCTGGGATATCCAATGTCAAATGATCTCTCTGTCTTGGGAGCCCCCACTTGCCCTGATCAGCCCTGTCCTCCTGACATCTCTAGGGACTGAAAAAAAAATCTACCAGGTATGTGTGTCTTCCTGCATTGAGGTATATTCCCTTCTTTCAGTGGTCCCAACCTGTCACTATTTTTGTATACAGACAACACTTAATATTTCCATCCATGAATGACTTTGGCAGGAGAGAGTGCTGAGTTGAGGGAAAAATAAAAGACTTATTAAAAGATTATTGGAATTCAGCTACTGGTTCATTCTGGGGAATAGAGAAATCATTTTATAATTTTCTCATTCTCATTGTCTGGAAGCTCCCTCTACAATTAAATCTTACATCTAACCACTACTATTGCCTTATGATAATATGCCATAAATAGAATTGCTGTTTCCCAGAGGGAACATTGGGATGTTAGTAAAGTCACCAGAAACATCTTCATGTGTGTCCAATTAAAAACCCTCATCCTGATTCCATGTAATCACATGATAGGCATAAGGAGAGACAAGGTTGACTGCCTTCTCCGCTGAGTGCTTGTTGACAATTCTCTAAGGCTCAACAACTCTCCTGCGGGGCCAGTCTTTCTCTGGTTTCTAGACTAGTGAATGTGAAAGCTGCAGTCTTAGTTTGGCCCCTGAAAACTCGATTCTGATCACTGGTTTTGCTTTTTTAGGCATCTACCCTTTTGGAAGAGAGTAGAAAATCATGAAGTCCCAGGTGAGTGCTTTTTAAAAAAACTCTCTTGGTTGTCCATCCAATCAAATGGAAAGTACCAGCAGCTGAAATTTGCTTTAGGGAAAGCAGGAATGAAGATCCAGAACTAGAAAGAGTTGCTGGGAGCATGCAGAAAACCTGACTTGAAAGTATTTTTATGAATTTATAGAATTAATTTTTCTGATCTTTCTGGTAGACATCAGTTACACAGTTTGCATTCCCCTAAAGGGAAAGCAGAAAAATTTCCCATGGGAGTAAAACATTTCTTGATATATAAGCTTAAAAAAATTTTCTCTTTATTGGATCTTTTAGGTACTGGAGTGCACACTTTTGTCACCAACACTGTTTTGATAACTATAGTAGATACATTGTAGCTGTGCCTTTTTTAAAAAAGATTTATTTATTTATTTGAAAGTCAGAGTTACACAGAGAGAGAAGGAGAGGCAGAGAGAGGTCTTCCATCTGCTGGTTCACTCCCCAGTGGGCTGCAACAGCTGGAGCTGTGCCGATCCCGGGTCTCGCATGTGGGTGTAGGGTCTCAAAGACTTGGGCCCTCTTCTACTGCTTTCCCAGGCCATAGCAGAGAGCTGGATAGGAAGTGGAGCAGCTGGGACTCAAACCAGTGCCCATATGGAATGCCGGCACTGCAGTCAGTGGCTTTACCTGCTACACCACAGCGCCACCCTGTAGTTGTGTCTTAAAATTATCTTTTTCAGAGGGAAGGCGCCTTAATGTCTTAACCGAACTTCTTGAGCTTTATTCTTTAGAGCAGGAGTTGATAAACTGTTAACCACGGGCTGAAGCCAGTTCTCTAGCAGTCTTTTATAAAAATTCATTTATTTTGAGAGAGAGAGAGACAAAGAGGCTGAACCAGGTCTGCAGACAGGAGCTGGAAACTCAATCCAGGTCCCCCACATGGGTGGCAGGGACCCAGCTACTGGAGCTATCACCTGCTGCCTCCCAGGGTCTAAGAGGCAGCTGGAGTCAGGAACCGGAGCAGGGAATTGACTGCATGTACTCAGATATGTCCTGCAGGCATCTGAACCTGCTCCTTAACTACTAGGCCAAGTGCCCACCGTCCAGCTGCTTTTATAAACAAAGTATGATTAGAGCACATCCAGGCTGTTTCTTTATACATGCCTATGGCAGTGCCAAAAAGGTATGCTTTACCGGAACAGTTAGCTGACCTCTGCTTTAGAGGAGTGCATTGATTAGCAAGGCTTGCTATAGTCCTGCTGTAGTCAAAGATAAAAATCTAGATAACACAGAAAGGATAGGCACACTTTGAATGGTCTTCCAAAAAGTTCACTCACATCACAGTTCTTAAATTCTGTTTGTGTTTATCTGACGAAGCTTTGGAGGGCAGAGGTTCTGCTATCTCATAGCCTTTGCTATTGTTTCAGAGTTTGTGGAATTGTGTCCATTTCATGCTATTCCTTCTCTGCTCTTCCATTTTTGAATGTCTGTAATTTTTCTCCCTGACAACATTGACTGTATGCCTGATGTAAATATTTAAAAATATGTAAAACCATAAAAATGAACAATAGAGAGATCTCCCCTCTTCCTGAGATACTAACCATTTGTCCTGAGTGCTAACCATTTGTTTCTAACTCTCCAAGAATTTTTTTTGATGTGGCCGTATAAATGTGTACAGGTAAAAGTAGAAATCTGTGAGAATGTTTCTTCTTGTGTTTTTCTTTTGGAAAAAGTAATGTTACAGCATTTTGTTCCATGACCTGGTTTTTAACTTTTCTGTCTGATAGAAAGATTTTTGTATACCTCTTTAATATCTTCCTGTGTTAGTACTTACAGTTCTTTTCTATTTTATCAGATGCATAGCATTTCCCTGTGGCCTGATTGCCTTGGATGGTTGCCTTATCCATCAAATGGAGACTATAATCCTCATAGGGTTGTTGTGAGAATTAAGGAAGTACCAGTGATGCTTAGACTATAATGTAGGCATGGTTTGTACTTTATTTTGGTGATAGCTGTTACTTTGTTTTCATTATCATTGTCAGAGCTAGAAATAAACTTTTACATTACCAGTCCTTATGTGTTTTACATTAAAGCCTAACAACTGAATTCTGTTGCAAAAAGAGGTTTGCTTTTATTTTTGGATATAAACAATGTCAGAACCGTGTTCTTCCAGTCACACATAGTTACTGAACGCTTGAAACTGGCTAGTCTGAATTGAGACATGTTATGCTAAGTATGTGCTACACTTTGAAGGTATGGTTCCAGAAACTCAGCAGTAGTTTTTAAAGATTATTTACATGTTGAAATGATATTTTAGGTAAAACATTGGAATAAATTTGTATTTTTAAAATAATTTTTGAATGTAGCTGCTAGAAAATGTAAAATATCCATTAACTTTATATTTCTTTTTTTTAAGATTTATTTTATTTATTTGAAGGGCAAGAGTTACAGAGAGGCAGAGGCAGATACTTGTACAGCTCCAAATTGTACTAAGCCAGGGGACACAAAAAAAGAGAGAGAGAAAGGGAGAGAGGGAGAGAGGTCTTCTATCCACTGGTTTACTCCCCAGATGGCTGCAATGGCTGGAGCTGTGCCAATCCAAAGCCAGGAGCTTCTGGGTCTCCCATGTGGGTGCAGTGGACCAAGGACTTAGACCATCTTCTGCTGCTTTCCCAGGCCATAGGAGGACGCTGGATCGTAAATGGAGCAGCTGGGACTCAAGCAGGCACTGTAGGGATATGGGATGCTGGCACTGTAGGCGGCAGCTTTACCTGCTACACCACAGTGCCGGCCCTGCTTTATATTTCTCTTAGGCAATACTGATTGAGAGAATTAGGATGGATTTTTTTCCAAAGATTTATTTTATTTATTTGAAAGAGTTGTTGAGAGAGGTAGAGCCACAGAGAGAAAGATCTTCCATCCCGTTGGTTCACTCCCCAAATGACCACAACGGCCGGAGCTGAGCTGAGCCAAAGCCAGGAGCTGCTTCCAAGACTCCTATGCAGGTGCAGGGTCCCAAGAACTTGGGCCATCTTCTACTGCTTTCCCAGGCCGTAGCAGAGAGCTGGATCGGAAGTGGAGCAGCTGAGACTCGAAGTGGTGCCCATATGGAATGCTGGTGCTGTAGGCTGGGGCTTTACCCTGCTGTGTCACAGCACCAGCCATAGATTTTTTAAAATTATCCAAACCATGGCTAATTAACTGATTAAATGGATTGTTTCTTTTGAACAGAGTTTTGTATTTTTTTCCATACAATTAAGAGGTGAAGTCATCATTTTTATACCTATTCTTTTCTCTCACTAACACCTAGCCCCTTCCACTTCTTCATGTCGTAATAGCACTTCCATTCTCTCAGCCACCCAAGCTATAAGACTTGTTAGTAGATGACAAAAATTCAATTTTCCACAGGTTATATACTATATCAGTATTTATCCCTATCTAGTATATTGAAGCATTTGAGAATCAGTAATCAAGTCAAGTCAGAGTGTTAGGATTACAGCCTATGTTAATTTTTTTACCACAATGAATTTCCTCTGCTTTACATATTTATTCCCTTTCTCAAATTCTGTTCTTCAGATCAAAGGAGTATAATTTAATTACAGGTTATTTTTAAGTAAAGATGAGTTTTAGTTTAGTTTCTCTAATCTTCATTATTCCTTTTTAGCGAACATTTCTTGAGTACCCTTTCTGTGTCCTATGCACTGGCTAGCTTCTCAAGAAGATTTAGGCAAGCTTCTTTCCTGGAAGCACAGCAGAGAAAAAATGGGTAAAGAGATATAGAAACCAACATTGACACATAAAAGCTCTGTAACAGACACAGGAGCAAAGAACTTTTATAGCATTGAGGGGGAGCAACCAGCATTATAAGGAAGTAGGCAATAGGCTTAAAAGATAATTGAACTTCGAATTAGGAAGAAAGTAGAGTGAGGAAGCAGCATCTGTAAAATTAGAAAGGGCACAGTGATTTAGTGAAGGCTGGGAATTTGAGGAAAATTACAGTGGAGATTGCTTCGTGGCATGGTTGATGAAGGGTGGTAGTGAAGTGAGCACATACAAGAGATAGTGTTTACAATATCAGAGAAGCAACCTGGAGTGCAACAGTCGGGAACCAGTGTAGTGAGTCTGTAAATATGAGAGTTAATCAGTCGTGTGTGTAGTGTGTAATCTTTCAGTTTTCTCATATGTAAAACAGGAAAATTAATAAGACTGTAGGACAAACTAAAATGATTGGGAACTTGTTGGTGTGACTGTGGAAGTTAGTGTGGATGAGAGATCGCTCTCATCTCAGTCGTTTCAGTTTTAAGCTGAGTGTATTTGTAAAGAAGGAAATGAAAGAGGCTTTTAATATCTTAAGTAACAATTTATTTTCATTCTGAAAGCAATGCTTGATAATAATGGAATGTTTAGGAAAAAAATCCATGAAAGTAGTTAAATATTGCAAGTCACCATTATATTCATTTCCATTATTCGATAATAAGTGCTGTGAAAATAATGGTAACATGATTTAAATAGTTTTTGCTCCAGAGACATTTTGTAGCTCTATGCTTATTCATGTCCTTTATCTTGATGTCCTGTCACTAAATTATTGTATTGGTTTATGATGGCTGTTTCATTTATCCGTGGTTATGATTTTCTTTATGAATATTCCCTGAATATTTCCTTCTGAGTTATTACTTGAGATTTCTTAATTTTAATTTTATTGTAATTATTATCTTTTATTATTTCATTATGCTCCTTGCTACTGCACTATGTAAGAGAGCTGTTAGGTTTAGGGGAAGTTATGATGTTTTTTCTCCCTTTGAAATGATGGAACTAGGTTAATGATGTTCAAAAACTCTGACATTCTGTGATTCTCTAAATGTTTTCATTAAAAAGGCCCTCTCTGCTCCATAATTATAAACAAAAATTCTCTCATGTTTTATTTTTGTAACTTTCATGGTTTCCAGGATTTTTAGAGTTAAAATTTTTGTTTCATCTGCATTTATTCTGTTTTTAAGATATAAAATATGGTGTATTATTCTGCTATGTCTGTCATAACAAAGTACCGCAAACAGGGTGGCTTAACCAATAGAAATTTACTATCTCATAGAAGAGGCCAAAAGTCCAAATTCAAGATGTCTGAAGGGTTGGTTCCTTTGGAGGGCTTTGAGCAAAGGATCTGTTCCAGGTTTTTCTCCGTGGCTTGTTCATGGCCGTCTTTTTTCTAGATCTCTTTATATCATCTTCCTTTTGTTTATATTCATGTTCAAATTTCCCTTTTTCATATGGACACCAATCATACTGGATTAGGGTCCGTTATATCTGCACTGAGCTTGTTTCCAAGTAAGGTCACATTCTGGGATTCTAGGGGTTAAGACTTCAACATGTGGATTTTCAGGAAATACAGTTACATTTATGGCATATGGGTGCAACGTTGTTTTCCTATTGACTATCCAGTTGTTTCACTACTGTTTGTCGAATCTTCCTTCCTTCCCAGTTGTATACTGCCTTTATCATTATTAAATTACCCTATATATTACATAGTCATTGTGTGGCTTGCATTTCTGTTTTCCTAACCTATCAGGCTCGTCTTGCAAAAGACAGGCTTTTACGTTATTACTCCTAAACCTATGATGTGAAACTCAGTGCAAATGTACTTTTACAGACTACAGGAAAGTGAGAATGGTCACTTCATACTGAACTGGAATGTACCGTTACAGGTTTTAGTATCATTCAAGGATGTGGCTGTGGATTTCACCCAGGAGGAGTGGCAGCAACTAGACCCTGCTCAGAGGACCCTATACAGGGATGTGATGCTGGAGAACTATAGTCACCTGGTCTCAATGGGTAAGAATGGCTTTCCACATAACTCAGGTTGTCCAGTCAAGTGCCTTTCCTTATCAGTTACTGCGATTAGGTGATTTTTGACATTTCATGCTTAGTATGACCTCGCTACCTTCCCATATGAAGGCCGTTACTTTGTTGAGGGCTGACTGGACAACTTCAGTATAGATCACCTGAAACTGTATCTTTACATCTTTCAATGCATTCAATCCAGTTCCTTTTTGATTTCCATTTTAATAGGTTATCCAATTTGCAAACCAGATGTCATCTCCAAGTTGGAACAGGGAGAAGATCCATGGATCATACAGAGAGACATATCACATTGGATCTATCCAGATGAACATCAGGCAGATTGGAGACAAAGTAAGTAAAATATCAGTTTCTTTATTAATTAATGGATGCCTGAGGCTTATGTTTCTATCTTTATTGACCGTTCCTCTTTGTTGCTCCTGTGCTGCGAACTTTAATAGATATTCAGTGAATAATTGTTGTAAGCATTTAGTGGACATTCAACAAATAATGGAAAGTAGTTGTGAGCCTTTGTTGATTCTTGTTGATCCTTTTGGTGTGTGTTTTATGAATAGGCTTTAGAGGCAATGGGACTTAGAGTTCTTCTAAGACATTAGTTGTTTGGGGAGAGGTAAGACCCCACCCCCAGCCCTCTGATTTGTGGCTTCAAAATTACTTTTATTTAAAAGTTCAGAGAAAATGAGTCTAAAGAGATGTGGCAGAATTGGAGATGGTATTTTTCAGAGCATGTGGCTGTAGCTGCTATGAATGGTGAGTGCTGATGAGGACAAGGAAAACAGTGAAGACAAAAAATGTAGAGGAGAGAATTTACGAACAAAACTTTGGAGTTAGTAAGGTATAAGTTTTCTGGGAGAACATTGCTGATTTTACTTCATATGTATGGAAGGTATTTTAGTGGGAGTAGTAGAATTCAAGTGTGTTTGGGTGTGTATCTGGTACTGAATGCATAGCAGGAGCTTGGATTTTTATCTTCTTTGTGTTAATTATTAATTAGGAAAATAGACTGAGACGAGTTACAGTATTTTGAGTACAGAAGAGACCTTGTTACTTTGGAGTGGTGGCCAGATATTTGTCAAGTAAACATAGAAAATGGTTTGTTACATAAATGAATTAAAAAGATGAAAACAGTTTCTGTTCAGAAAGCAAGGTAAGTGGGACGCTCACAGAAGAGTAATCCAAGATAAGAGTAAGAACCCAAATATTTTTTAAAAATTCATTCTGGTCTGGTTTTTACATGAATATTTCTCTTTAACATCCTCATGTAACTATTCATGTGAGCATACTGTTTACTTTCCTGCCTTCTGAGATGCCCTACCTTCATCTCTCTTTTATTTATTTTTCAACTACACTGCATTTGTTCTACTTCTCTGTACTTTGTTAATTGCTTTTTGTGACTCTTCGATTTTATATTTACTTCTTTTAGACAGGAAGAGTAAGCTGCACAACTCCCCCTCCTGTGTTTTGGGGACTATTTCTTTCCATAATAAGCTACTGAAAGGAGTCACAAAGGATGGTTCCTTGTACTCGATTTTAAAAGTCTCTCAAGACGATGACCAGCTGCAGAGATGTCAGGAAGAGCAAGAGGGACTTTACAGACAAGTCACATGGGTTAACAGCAAAACAGTGGCTGAGGCATCAAGCCATAAATATAATGCATTGGGAGAAATATTTCAAGAGTTCATAAAGCCAGACATACCGAGACAAAGACTGCATAAATATGATTCACTTAAAAAGAATTTAAAAGCAAATATTGACCTACCTAGTTGTAATAAGAACAGTTCAAGAAAAAACCTTGATGAGAGTTTTGGATGTGGAAAATCAGCTAGCCCCAGTGTTTCCAATTCTAATCTTGAGAAAATTCATAATGGAGTAGTATCCTTTGATGGTGATCAGCATGGAAACGTTTTCAGCAATAAACGATCCCTTATTCAATGTCAGACTGTTGGAACCAAGGAGAAAACCTGTATATGTGTTACGTGTGGAAAAGCCTTTGCTAAGAAGTCACAGCTTATTGTACATCAAAGAATTCATACTGGAAAGAAACCATATGATTGTGGTGCATGTGGGAAAGCCTTCAGTGAGAAGTTTCATCTCATTGTACACCAGAGAACTCATACTGGAGAGAAACCTTACAACTGTCCTGAATGTGGAAAAGCCTTCTCTCAGAAATCATCTCTCATTATACATCAGAGAGTTCACACTGGAGAAAAACCATATGAATGCAGTGAATGTGGGAAAGCCTTTTCCCAGAAATCACCCCTCATTATACATCAGAGAATACATACTGGAGAGAAACCTTATGGATGTAGAGAGTGTGGAAAGGCCTTCTCTCAGAAGTCTCAGCTTATTATACATCATAGAGCTCATACTGGAGAGAAGCCATATGAGTGTACTGAATGTGGGAAAGCCTTCTGTGAGAAGTCACACCTCATTATACATAAAAGAATTCACACTGGTGAGAAACCTTATAAATGTGCCCAGTGTGAGGAAGCCTTCAGTCGGAAGACAGAACTCATCACACATCAGTTAATTCATACTGGGGAGAAACCATATGAATGTACCGAATGCCAGAAAACATTTTCCCGGAAGTCACAACTCATCATACATCATAGAACACACACTGGAGAGAAACCCTACAAATGTAGTGAATGTGGCAAAGCCTTCTGCCAGAAATCACATCTCATTGGACATCGGAGGATTCATACAGGAGAAAAACCTTATGTATGTACTGAATGTGGGAAAGCCTTCTCTCAAAAGTCCCACCTTCCAGGACATCAGCGAATTCACACAGGAGAGAAGCCTTATATATGTGCTGAGTGTGGAAAGGCCTTTTCCCAGAAGTCAGATCTTGTTTTACATCAGAGAATTCATACTGGGGAAAGACCCTATCAGTGTGCTGTATGTGGGAAAGCCTTCATTCAGAAGTCACAACTCACTGTACACCAGAGAATTCATGCAGCAGGAAAGTCATAATGAAGTGACCACAGAAAAGCTTTCAGTGTTAGTTCAAGCCTTAATGATGAGCAGAAACCCGATTCATTTGATAAATTTGGATACAGTATCTCTACATTAAATTATACATGGAAGCTCATGTTTCTAGTATGGTGATGCCTAACTTTTTCAGTACAGATGATAGAAAGTAATTTTATAAATGAAGGACATTTTTAACATGACATGTAAACCTTTTTTTAATTTTATTTTATTTTGACAGGCAGAGTGGACAGTGAGAGAGACAGAGAAAAAGGTCTTCCTTTTGCCGTTGGTTCACCCTCCAATGGCTGCCGCAGCCGGCATGCTGTGGCCGGCGCACTGCGCTGATCTGGTGGCAGGAGCCAGGTACTTATCCTGGTCTCCCATGGGGTGCAGGGCCCAAGCACCTGGGCCATCCTCCACTGCCTTTCCTGGCCACAGCAGAGAGCTGGCCTGGAAGAGGGGCAACCGGGACAGAATCCGGCGTCCCGACCAGGACTAGAACCTGGTGTGCCGGTGCCGCTAGGCGGAGGATTAGCCTGTTGAGCCGCGGCGCCGGCCATGTAAACCTTTTAAAGCATGAGGTGAATGATCAGTAAAGTATGTGTATAGTGTATTGTTACATATTCCTTACACCACATAACAATAATAAGGCATTGTGAAATTGCTAATATTAGCTTTGTATAATTATAGCCACATAGGATTCCCTATAAAGGATATGTTAGAAAGATTTAGTGAAAAGCAAAAGCAAAGCATCAATTCCTGAAAACTGTATTATGAGAAGGATCTTGACATACCCCTAAAACTACATGTAAAATTTGTAGAAAAATGGAAAGATGGGTTGATCAGATTCAGTAAAGTATATGAATTTTCTCTTCTCTGGCTTATAAATTCATCTGCAACTTTGGAAGAACACTGGGCCTTGAAATTGATGGATTTTGATGAAGTTTTCTCCTTTACTCTCCCCAACTAGGAACTTGATGTGGTGGGAAGACTTTGGCACTAAAGTCATATGAGTCTTGAATTTTGATCCTGAGCCAACTAATCACAGGTTATATGACTTCAGGAAAGCCCACTTCACCCATTAGAAAGTTTTTTTCTTGTTGGTAAATAAAAGTTCAAGATAGAATACATTTTCAGTTATTATTAGTTCATTTTTCTGACTTCTCTGTTTTCCTGAAATAGAATAGTAAGACTCATGTTTAAAATCTGCATTTCTACTTCCTTTGTACACTGGAAACTGCTTTTGATTGCCCACTTCTATAACTGGTTTATTTTTACTGTCTCTGACCCTGGTGGCCTTATTCTTACTATATTAAAATGCTTTTTGAATACTGCCCCCTCCCCCTTTTTCATGTACACTTAGTCACTGTGGTGATCGTGCATTAAGACTTTGTGTAAAGTCTGTTGCATTCCTTTCTTTTTTTTTTGACAGGCAGAGTGGACAGTGAGAGAGACAAAGGTCTTCCTTTGCCGTTGGTTCACCCTCCAATGGCTGCCGCTGCCAGTGCACTGTGGCCGGCTCACCGCGCTGATCCAATGGCAGGAGCCAGGTGCTTCTCCTGGTCTCCCATGGGGTGCAGGGCCCAAGCGCTTGGGCCATCCTCCACTGCACTCCCTGGCCACAGCAGAGAGCTGGCCTGGAAGAGGGGCAACCGGGACAGAATCCGGCGCCCCGACCGGGACTAGAACCTGGTGTGCCGGCATCGCAGGTGGAGGATTAGCCTGTTGAGCCGTGGCTCCAGCCTGCATTCCTTTCTAACCCCTGCCTTGTAGCCCCAACTGTTTTCCCCAGGAAACAAGGACCTTTACATAGGAAAGCTCTTAGAGTGAGAAATTACACCTGTGAAGGCTTGAGAACTTGCTGTCTCTAAAATGTCCCTTTTCCTTCTCCCTGTGGTTCCATCTGTTCCTCCATGAGCAGCTTTAGATGGACTGGAAGGATGAAGGCATGGATGAAGTAAGTGCAACATCTGTGCATAGTTCCTCCTTGATTCTTTCCCGTTTCCTGATCTTTCTGCATGGCTGAACGGTCAGCTGTATAAAGCCTGGGCACCTGTGGGTGAGAACCTTTGCAGGAGAGAGGGCACACCTGACAGGGATGTGGGAGTGCAACATCAAAGATGTCAGTTTTCCCACCAAGTGATTGATAGATTGTTGGGGGCGAAGCAAGAAATTGAAATCCGAAGCCAGGAGCCAGGTGCCTCCTCTTGGTCTCCCATGCGGGTGCAGGGACCCAAGCACTTGGGCCATCCTCCGCTGCCCTCCTGGGCCACAGCAGAGAGCTGGACTGGAAGAAGAGCAACTGGGACCAGAACCCGGGGCCCATATGGGATGCCGGCACCGCAGGTGGAGGACCAGCCATGTGAGCCAGGGCGCCGGCTCCAACATAATCAATCTTAACATTTTCAAATCAAATTCAATGATATTTTTTATAGTATTTTAAAAAAAATTTTTTTTTGACAGAGTGGACAGTGAGAGAGACAGAGAGAAAGGTCTTCCTTTGCTGTTGGTTCACCCTCCAATGGCCACCGCGGCCGGCGCACTGCGGCCGGTGCACCGCGCTGATCCAAAGGAAGGAGCCAGGTGCTTCTCCTGGTCTCCCATGGGGTGCAGGGCCCAAGCACTTGGGCCATCCTCCACTGCACTCCCAGGCCACAGCAGAGAGCTGGCCTGGAAGAGGGGCAACCGGGACAGAATCTGGTGCCCTGACTGGGACTAGAACCTGTGCCGGCGCCACAAAGCGGAGGATTAGCCTAGTGAGCCGCGGCGCTGGCCCAAATTCAATAATATTTTGCAGGAAAAGTAAATATCAGCCAAATGGGTTCATTGAGGAGTGTAAGATTGGTTCAACCTATAAAACCAACTGGTGCCAAACATCAATGGTCTAAAACAGAATAGCCATCTAATTTCAATAGGAACGAGAAAATTGAAAATTCAACATCCGTTTAGAATAGACTCAACTTGGCATAAAAGACAGCTTCCTCAGACTGTTAAAAGGCATGTGAAATTCACAATTAACATCATATTTAATGGTGAGAGACAATGCTTCCGGCCAAAATGGGGGAAAAGGCTCTCACTCTTTCTAGTCAGCATTATCTGGCAATCTTAACCAGTGAGTGCAGTAAGGAAAACAAGAAATGGAGTGGAACTGCATTCTAGAAAGGAAGAAGTAAAAGTATCAGTATTTAGCAGATAACGTGGTCTTCTACATGGATGCACTCAAGAACTCTAAAAATGTTTATTACGCTTAAGCAAGTTCTGAAAAATATCTAAATAAATAGAGATATCATGTTTAAAGGCCGATATCAATTCCCCTCAAACTGTATGTTGAATGCCAATTACCCAGACAAAAGAATCCCAGCAGGTATTTTTGTAGAAATTGGGAAGCTGATTCAAAAAATGTATATAGAAATGAAAAAGCTAGAGGCTTCTTTTTGAAAAGTGACAACTTTGGAAGATCCATACTACTTGATTTCAGGGCTTATTATGGAGCTAAAATAGTCAATCCTGGTATTGGCATAAGAATAGAAATGTCAGTGGTACAGGAAGGTGTCTAGAAATTGAACCATAAATAAGTATATAGCAATTTATTTTTAACAATATTATCAAAGTAATTTAATGGACAAAGAATAGACTTTTTAAACAAATGAAACTGGAATGATGGAAATCTACATGCTTAAAGAGCCTATCCCTTTAGCTCGTGAAGTACACAAAAATCGAAGTGAAATAGATCATGAATATAAATGTGAAACCAGAAGCTATAAAGTTCCAAAAGAAAACTGACTTATGTGAGTTTTGTAGGCTTTTTCAAACAAGATATAAAAACCCCAAAAGTGTAAAACTAAAAATTTATCAATTGGGGCTCATTATACGGATAACTCCTCTTGAAAACAGTATTAAAGAAGCTGAACTAGTTATAACATCCCTGTTTCCTCCTTCGTATTCTCTCTGCCAAATACGGAGTCAGCCATTTCTTCCAGGAGTGGTGATCTCTCTCAGTGGGCAATAGTATTTGAAAACCCTAATCTGGCTGCTTTGGATGCTCATAACCAGTGCAATATCATTGTACATAGGTCACTCTCAGTGTACTTCGTGGCAGGGTCAGACCGTACATTTAAAATTGTGTTTATATTCACCTCTCCTATTTTTCATAAAACCTTTGATATTTTACTAGTATCTCTTTTATGTTACAATGAAAATAATGGTCCTCAGTCATTATAGTTTTTTCTTACAGTATTCCTAAACAAATCTCAAATTATTAGTATTATTTATGAGCAAAAAATTAATAAAATATGTTAAAATCCTAGTTTCAGCATTTTTCAATTTGAATAGCCATAAATATTCAACCAAGTTAAAAATAATAATGCTAGCAAGCTAAAATACGTATGTATAAGTTTTCAAGGAAGAGTAGTCATACCTTATAAGTTCTCTTAAAATTCAGCTCTCCCTTCTTTGTATCCACAATATTCTCTCTTTCAAATTTATTTATTTATTTGAAAGGCAGAGAGACAGAGTTCTTGTCTCCTGGTTCACTCTCCAAATAACTGCAACAGCTGAGGCTAGGCAAAATTGAAGGTAGTAGTCAGGAATGCCATGTGGGTCTCCCACACGGCTGACAGGGACCCAACTACTTGAGCCATCACCTGCTGCCTCCCAGCGTGTGCATTAGCAAGAGTTTGGAGTCTGGCACTGTGATATGGGATATGTGTGTCCCAAGTGGCTTCTTAGCTACTTCACCAAATGCCCTTCCCTTACTCCTTTTTTAAGTCACTACTTGTGCACCCTTGGATGGGTCATTCATCTCTCAGGGTTCTGTTTCCTTCCTTTCTGAGTCTTGATAAAATCATGGCTCACCAGAAGGATAGTTGGATTAAATAAAATCTGTTTCTTACCTTTTAGAGGGCACAAAATGTGCCATTGGTACATTTTATTTGTTTTCCCTGTGTTCTCATTATTGAATTTTGTTTCCTTAAAATGAAATGAAAAATATTTGTTGAATGTCTTCTTTTTCTTTCTTTCTTTTTATTTATTTATTTGCAGTCTTTATTTGAGAGGCAGAGAGACAGAGACACAAGGAACTCCCATGTGCTGATTAACTTCCTAAAATGTTCACAATAGCCAGGCTGAAGCTAGAAACCTGCAACTCAGTCTGGGTTTCTCACATGTTCGTGCAGGGACCCAACTACTTGAGACTTCCCTTGCTACCTCCTAGAAGGTACAATAGCAGGAAGCTGGCATTTGTAGTAGAACTGGCTTCTCCAATATGAATGCAGGGCTCCCGATTGGTGCCCTTAGCAGCTATGCCAAACACTTGGTCCCTGACTCCACCCCAAGCTCTTTTTCTAGGAGGAAGTGCTTATCATCTGGTGCTAGTGATAGTTCCAGAAGGCCATGATGAGGAGAGCCCTTTGAATTTTATTTTTCTTGATTTAAATCTCCCTTGAGATAGAAACCAGAGGTCTCAGCTGGTGATAATCAAGTATGTTTGAAAATTATATGTGAATTCATATAGGAAAGAAGATTGGGCCTCAATTCAGCAGAAAATAGAGAACTAGTCTACTAACTGGATGGTGAATAGGCCCCAAGGATATCTGCAGCTCTCCAACTCCCTGTGCTTATGAGTTCCAAACAAAGGAAACCAATTATCTCCTCCAGGGAAAGAAGCCTCGAAAAGGGGAATGGAGAAAATATTTGTGAGGAACATTTATTGTTCTTGGGTTCATAGGAAGTACCATTACACTGAGAAAATTTTTTTATATTTGACTATGCCTATATTTTATAAAAATGTTTTATTCCCGCCGGCGCCGCGGCTCACTAGGCTAATCCTCCGCCTAGCGGCGCCGGCACACTGGGTTCTAGTCCCGGTCGGGGAGCCGGATTCTGTCCCGGTTGCCCCTCTTCCAGGCCAGCTCTCTGCTGTGGCCAGGGAGTGCAATGGAGGATGGCCCAGGTGCTTGGGCCCTGCACCCCATGGGAGACCAGGAAAAGCACCTGGCTCCTGGCTCCTGCCATCGGATCAGCGTGGTGCGCCGGCCGCAGCGCGCCAGCCGCGGCGGCCATTGGAGGGTGAACCAACAGCAAAAGGAAGACCTTTCTCTCTGTCTCTCTCTCTCACTGTCCACTCTGCCTGTCAAAAAAAAATTAAATAAAAAAAATAAAAAAAAAGTTTTATTCCCAATCAAGATATTAGTGATTCAAATGAGTTTACTAATTTTTTCAATATTTATTTATTTATTTAAAAGTCACTGTTAGAGGCAGAGAGAAAAAGAGATCTTCCATCCACTGGTTCACTCTCAAATGGCTGCAAATGGCTGGAGCTGGGTCAGTCCAAAC